TGTCTCCTTCTCGAGTTCACTAAATATACTGAAAAAGAAAACTTCTTATATTAATCATGTCTCTGCAGACTGAGCTGCATGGATTAGCTGCTTTGCAGTGGTCAATTTGTCAAGACTCCCTCAGCAGGTTTCCATAAACCTCCCACTGAGTTTGAATACCAAAAAAAAAAAAAAAAAGAATTTACTGGATCAGTGTTATTCAAATCTTTGTGTTATATGTGTTTAATCCAGCATATTTTACTTCTTCATTCGAGAATTAAAAAAGGTTAATTTATTTCAATGACTAGTACTTATCTTTATATTTCTCTTCAAATAATGCATACCTTGCCTCCATATGTTTCATGTTCTTTTGCATGGAAAGACAAAATGCAAGCACCTAATTCTTTTATTTAGATGCAAAGTGTTTCAATGTGACAAAGGATATGTACCTCCAACTTCTGCTCATTATCCCAGGAAAAAAGAACCTAAACAGGGCCTCTCACCTCATATTTGAAATTCAATTTAGTTGTAACACATTGGTTTAGAAGAGATCTCTGGATATTTTCATTATAGAGAGAACCGGGACTGTCTCTTGGTGGAGGAGTCTTTTATTCAAAAGGAAAATGTTATCTACCAGACCTCCTTACGCCAAAAAAACATAATAATTGCATTGGGAATACGGAGATCTGACCCAGAATTCAAACCCAACTAGGCATTGATACCTTGGGGTTAAGTAAGGTTTCTCAAAAGCCTTGAGGTATGTCATTCCCGAAATAAATTCTTTCCCATCAAAGCGATGTAATTTAAGCCTCAGTGAGGGAGATAATGCCAATTCCCAGGATTTTCTACCTGATGAGAGGAACAATATATGGCCAGAGAAAAACTCGAGATAATGAATATTAAGGATGTTGCTGATTGTGTATACCAAAAGTCTCCTAGCTATGATCATTATATCACATACCATCTATTGAACAAGAGTTGCCTTTTTTATTGCCTTTGACTCTTTGTCATAAGTAGGATCAGCGTTATTCAAATCTTATTTTGGGGCCCTAATAGCCTCTTGATTTGAAAGGCTGGGTAGATGCTCTTTACTTTTTTCTCTTGCCTCGTCTAACAACTTGATGAATTGACAGGTCCAATGAAGCTCGACTTATGTATGAGAAACTCCAATCTCACCGAAACCCCAAAGTGAGCAAGAAAGCAAGACAGTTCGTGTTCTGCTTTCAGGTAATTATTTTGTTCCGCATGGAAATATTGCTGCTTTTTTTTTTGGGGGGGGGGGGGAGGACAGGAAAGCCCCCTGTTTGTGAGATCATATTGACAGAAGTGGGACTCAATCTTCTCCCTCTCTCTTTTTATTTCAGTAACAATATATATTAGGACTTCTTAAAGTAATTAGATCTAGGGAGAAGTATAATCAAGTCCCAAGAAAGAAAAGTAATTACTAAAAATCCTAATAACAACTTAAACAACCTGTAATGACAAGTTTCAGAAGGGAAAATAACAACTTCTAGGACTTATTTTGTAATTATTTTTCTTCTTTGGGATCTCATTGTAATTCTCCCTTAGATCTATTTATTTTACCTCCAATCTCATAATGCATAGTTTTCATATATTGAAAATTAATAATAATTAACTGGTTATAATGAAACAGCATTTGACAATGCACATATTAGCATGCCCAGACTTCTCTGCCTAAGCCCGTCACAAAAATAGGAAACCTTTTGTCTTATATACTTGTTGCCATGCATGATGGGTTGAATCTTAAAACCTGGCAGGCTATGGAAATGATGAAGGTGACAACAGGATCTCCATTTTCACGGAACACAGGCTACCAGAATTATTTTGATGCTTTCATAGAAAACAAGTCTAACTACCCTTTACAAGAAGACCTCAATGTGCAAGAAAGGGCACTAAATCAAGTTCTGCCCTATCTTCTCTTTCTCATTTCTCCCATCTTTATGGTAGTATTTGTTGCCTTGCAGAAGAGAATATAAACAGATTTTTTTTGTATATAGACAACTTCTCTATTGTATATATATGTCACACGCATACAATGTCTTGTTCCATAGTTTTGAGGTTCCAGGGAGAGGAGAATCGGTGTAGTATTCATTTGTATCACTGTCTTATAGATACACTTAATAAATACTGTTAACCCACATCTGTAGAAAAAAAAATACAGCTGATGCTTGCAGCTACTTATTACTATACATAACTACCGCTGTCACCTACTCCCTATAATAGTTTTGGTGCTGTTATGGTAGTGGAGAAGTTAGATCTTCGACATTTCATGGAGTTTAAGAAACAAGTCTCGGTAGTGTCGTGTGAATGTTGATCTACCCCAGTTAGTAGGATAGTCGGATAAGACTTGTTATTATTACTTGCAACTTGTGAACAATGTAGCTTACTATAAGTTTTTTTTTTTTTTTTGGTAGACAGCTTATTATAAGTTTTTATTCGATACCGATGACGACTGATGATTCATCTTGTTAGCACAGAAGAATGGAAAATTGCTGCTGCCAGACTTGGTTCTTGAAAAAGATAGTGTTATGAATATGGTTTATTTGGAACTTGGAAAAGCCTGTTGCTTAAGTTCACACTTCGAATCCATATAAGGTTTTGATACACACACACACATATGTTAAAATATATATTTGGTTCTTTAATTTTGTATAAGATTTCAGTTTGATCCTTTAATTTTAAAAAGTATATTTATAGTCCTTTAACCCTAAAATTATTGGTCTTAAATGATGATTCTTTATAATAATTATAGTTGTTTTGAATATTGAACTTAATATATTAATATTTAATAATGTTTTATCAGCATTCAAGAGCTTAATATTACTATTTTTTGTTAACAATTATAGGGCTAGAGGACTAAAATGTTACTTTTTAAAGTTAATAGAACAAAATGAAATATTGTGTAAAGTATACTTTAACCTATGTATATGTGTGTGTATGAAGATCCAAGTTTGCCCTAAGGCAAATGTATAGCCTCCTATTTGGACTGCATTTTGTTTTCCTCCTCTTTTTGAAAAAAAGGGCAAAATGAAAATATATTAACTCATAAAATGTTTACAAATAATAGAAGAAAACTGAATTAAAACTGAAATTAATAAACTGTGATAAGAAAACCTGATTGGCATTTGACAACATATATGTCAACTTTAGAGAACGTTGAGCTGCATATTCTCTAAAGTGGACATTAAGAAGAAGAAACATGGCTTGTATTTGTTTGAAGCTTAATAGATGGCCTGAATTTGGTGCTTTATAAACATATTTTGATGGTCCTCATCTCATCTCTTGAATGAGTATGAAAATTGTAGCCACTTTCAGGGATATGATTAACTAACTAATTGGTAAAGATGGATTCCAAATCCCACAAGGATGTAGAGAGTCTATGAAATTCAACTGATTCCTATTTATTTTATAAAATAAATTACATTCTTACTAAAAAAAAATACATATTTTCTTTTTAATAATTTAATCCATTTTTAAATCAGTAATTTTTTTTAAAACTAATATCTCTTGCTATACTATTTCAGATCAATAATATCTCATATTTAATATTTACTTATATAAGTATCAAACACTCATTTCATTATATAAAAAAATATAAAAGGTTAATATTCTTTTTTTTTTTTTGATAACATGGTTAATATTCTTTTTAATCTTTAATGAAGTCAAATGTCGAGATTAAAAACCGTATTAATTTTTGTTCACATAAATGTTTATAATAAAATATATAATTTCAGCGCATAAGAGACGCGGAATCTCCATTGAATCGTAAAGCGCAATGCACGGTCGCTTTGAAGTCTGTGCTGGCATGGATATTTTCTTGCGTGCTTGACGGGGTGAAGATGATAGTGGAATGATTAATACGAGGCCCAAATCACTTTGTCATGTCAAAGAAATATAGTAATGGAATGAACTATCAACTCAAAAGCCTTCATTTTGATCGATATTTTGTAGCGTGGTTGACGGGAGGACAAAAAGTGAAATCATTTTGCCATTTTCTAGCCACACTCACAAAACCCACAAAGTCACACGCTCCTTGCATTACAATAACCTTTCCCACTTTCGCATTTTCATCACGTTCTTTTTCGTTTTGCATTTGCACAAGCACAACATCTTTATCTATGGCGGGAGCTTTGGTCGGAGGTGCTTTTCTTTCTGCTTTTCTTCAGGCAGCTTTAGATAGGGTGGCTTCTTGGGATGTTCTGGACTTCTTCAACAAACCAAAATTGAACCAGACATTGCTCAATAAGTTGAAGATCGTACTGTTATCCATCGATGCTGTGGTTGACGATGCAGAGCAAAAGCAGATCACTAATCTGAAGGTGAAGGACTGGACTGACTTGGTTAAAGATGCCGTGTTCGATGCTGACGATGTCTTGGGTGAGATGGATCATGAAATGTGCAAGCGCAAACTGGAAGGTGAACAAAAGAGTCAAACCAGTGCTATTGGCAAGGTACGAAGCTTCTTTGGTGCTTCAGTTAGCTCATTTGAGAAGGAAATTGAATATAGGATGAAAAACGTCCTTGAAAATCTAGAATATCTTGCATCTCAAAGAGACATGTTAAGATTGAATGAACGTGATAGCGGTGCTGGATTGAGAAGTGCTATACTAGATAGATTGCCAACTACATCTCTAGTGGATGAAGACGGAACATATGGTAGAGATGATGACAAAGAAACCATCAATGAATGGCTTCTGTCAGAAAAGTATAACAACCAACTATCTGTGATTTCTATAGTGGGTATGGGTGGTTTGGGTAAAACTACTCTTGCCTAACTCGTATATAATGATAGAAGGGTGATCGATGGATTCAACCTCAAAGTTTGGGTGTGTGTCTCTGATGAGTTCGATGTGTTGAGGGTAACAAGAACAGTTTACGAGGCAATCATTGGATATAAGTATGATACCAATGATTTAAATATGCTTCAAGTTAAATTGAAACAACAACTAACTCAAAAGAGATTTCTCCTTGTTTTAGATGACGTGTGGAATGAAAATTATATGCTATGGGAGGCTTTGCAATCACCATTTAATCATGGGGCTGTAGGAAGCAAAATTCTTCTAACCACCCGTAGTGGAAAAGTGGCTTCAACTGTGCGTTCTGCTAATATACTTCAATTGAAGCCATTATTAGAAGAAGATAGTTGGTCATTATTTAGCAGATATGCATTCCATGATGGAAATGTTCTTTGTGCAAACTCCGACCTTGAAGAAATTGGTAGAAAAATTAGTAAAAAATGCAAAGGGCTGCCTTTGACTTCGAAAGCCATTGGGAGTCTCTTATACACAGAATCATCTCATGATAATTGGAATGGCATTTTGAAAAGTGAGATATGGGAGGAAAAAAGTGATAGCAAGATTCTCCCTGCTTTGAGGTTAAGTTATTGCTACCTCCCCTCTCATCTCAAAAGATGCTTTGCTTATTGTTCAATATTTCCCAAAGATTATGCTTTTGATAAGGAGCATTTAATTCAATTGTGGATGGCAGAAAATTTTCTAACGTGTGCTCATCAAAGCCAAGATGCAAGAGAAGTAGGAGAACAATTCTTTAATGAGCTATTATTGAGGTCATTATTTCAACGATTAACAGTAGATGATACTTGTTTGGTCATGCATGATCTTATTAATGATATGGCAAAAGTTGAATATGGAAAGTTTTGCCATAGGTTGGAGTTAGATGATGTAAATAAGTTGACAGAAATGACCCGTCATATTTCATTTTTGAGAAATTATGTTAATACATCCAAACGATTTGAGGTTGTATTCAGGGCTAATAAATTGCGCACTTTCTTGCCTCTATCTATGCAAGGTCATAGAAGTACAAGCTATAACTCCATTCTTCACTTTATATCTGGCAACTTCACTCACAATTTGCCATCCAAGTTCACTTGCATGCGAGTTTTATCTCTGTCTGATCATTTCATCACACGGTTACCTGATTCAATAGGAAACCTCAGACATCTCTGTTATTTGGACTTATCAGGAACTAAAATAAGGAAACTGCCAGATTCAATATGTCAACTTTATCATTTGCAAACGCTAAAGTTATGGCGTTGTTGTCTTTTGGAAAAGTTTTCAACAGATTTTCATAAACTCATGAATCTACATCACCTTGATTTTCGTGAAACTCAAGTGAGAGAGATGCCAAAGCAATTGGATAAATTGGAAAATCTTCAAGTGCTGTCATCATTCATTGTAGACAAATCTGGAGAGACCAGCATCAAATATTTAGAAGGACTTGATCTTCATGGACCACTTTCCATCTCAGGGTTGAAAAATGTGGCTTCTCCCTCAGCTGCTTTAGGGGTCAATTTGAGAAGCAAGATACACCTAAAGGAGTTAACATTAGAATGGTGCATAGACAATGAAAAATCACCACATGATAAGGATGTGTTGGAGAACTTCCAACTACATAAGAATTTAAAAAAGCTATCATTTATCAACTATGGTGCTATCGAGTTTCCAAATTGGCTTGTCGATCATTCGTTGTCCAATTTAGTGTCCTTAGAGCTAAGGCATTGCAAATATTGTATATCCTTGCCATCAATTGGCATCTTTCCATCTCTCAAGTCACTGTCAATTATAGGGTTTCATAATATAGTAGCTATTGGTCCAGAATTTTGCGGAAGTAGCTCTAATGCTTCATCCCTAGAAATCTTGAGGTTTGGGGATATGAAGAGCTGGGAGGAATGGAAGTGTGAAATTTTGTCACTAACTTTCCCTCATCTTCAAGAGCTGAGTATCGAAAATTGTCCTAAATTGAAAGGGCAACTTCCTCAACAACTTCCTTCTTTAAGGATGCTAGTAATTTCCAATTGTGAGAAGCTTTTGTCTTCCATTCCCTAGGATCCATCTCTAGATAAATTGGTTCTAAGAAATTTCGGAAATGAGCAGTTAGAAAGTCTTCCATCATCTCTAAAAGTCCTTGACATTTCTGGAGGCTTCAAAAATTTATTATCAGTTGACAAAATTGAGAATCTCATTGCCAATTGTAACCTCAAAGAGTTGAAGTTTTCTGATTGTCCCCACCTTGAATTCCCACTGTGCTATTTTCATAACTTCATTCTTGAGATGGAGATAAGAGGGAGTTGTGACTCTGTCAAGTCTTTTCCTCTGGATTTATTCCCGAAGCTTCAATCATTAAAGTTGATTGACTGTAATAATCTTGAAATGATATCTATTTCAGAGGGGAATGATTTTTCTCTAGTAGACTTGTACATACGAAAGTGTCCTAGATTTGTCCATTTTCCTGAAGGAGGGTTTTCAGCCCCCAAACTAATATTGTGTTGCATCGAAGAATTGAAGAATTTGAAATCATTGCCAAAGAAGATGCGCGTTTTCTTTCCCTCTCTCATATATCTGGTAATTAGATGTTGCCCACAAGTGGAATCATTTTCAGAGGAAGATTTGCCATCAAATCTCCAATATCTTGATGTCTTGGAATGCCCAAAACTTGTAGCCTCTCGAATGGGTTGGCATCTGAGTAGGCTTACTTCACTGCATCACTTAGGGATTGGAGATGCAGATGATGAGTCTCTTCATGATATTGGACTACTTCCGCCTACTATTACTAGTCTTTCGTTCCGTAACTGCCCAAATCTCAGGTCATTAGAACACAAAGGTCTTTGCCACTTATACACTTTGGAAGGATTGGGATTTCATGGCTGTCCTAAACTCCAGCACTTTCCAAAGGAGGGTTTGCCCAATTCCCTTTGTCTGCTACGGGTTATTGGCTGTCCCTTGCTCAACAAGAAGATCCAAAAACAAAATGGAAAATATCAGGCAATTATTTCTCACATCCCTTTTAGTAGCACTAAAGATGATGGAGTAGCATTGGTAAGCGAGCTTCTCACTCATGAAGGCATGAGTTTTCCCACTATCCATTATGCATACAGTCGTTAGGTATATATTCACTCCTTTTTTAAAGTTTCAAGTCATGAACATAATTTTCTTTCTTTTGCTTGTGTTTAAGATTGAAAGATTTGCTAGATTCTCTTAATTTCAAATCAGAAAAACTCAGTTTTATTTGTTTGCTGCGCAAGTGCTGCACATCATGCTGGTTCCCAGCTTTCAATGGTCATGCTTATTTTGTTGGAATTTTAAATCATAAATATATATCCTTATGTTTGCACTGATTTATTCTTAGATTTGCTTGTTTATATGAAATTTTTATTGTTGTAGATATTAATGATAGCAAAGCTGCACAAAATGAACATAATTAAGCAAGAAGCTCTTTTACACTTCAAATTTTAATTAGGAATCATGAGTATTATCTTGTTGTTTGATGTTGTTTTTACTTCAAATTGTTAAGTATGGCCAATGCTACGGGTATTCTTATTAGGTGTCTATTCTGTTTCTCCCCCCCCCCCCCTCTAATTTTGAATGTTTAGTAATGGAAGAAGATCTCAACTTGCTTATGAAAGGTTCTTAAAAAAGTGAGAATTGTCAAAGGAAATAACTATCAATAAAATGCTTGTTTCTATTTTCAGTATGAAGCCTTTTTAGAAATTGAAGAGGAGAAAAGTGATTGCCACTTCTCTTCCCTTTCTTTTCCATCCACTTCTCATTTCAATTGTAAGATTGAAATTTCAATAGTTTGATTTCATATTGATAACAAACATTATAAATAAACTGTTAAATCTTTAATAAATAAATAAAATAAAATAAAACTAATAAATTTTAGCCAGAATAATTCGAAATATACTAAAAATTATTGTATAAAATTATTTTCTAAAAAATGAAATTTGCACTGTTAAACTTTTAATTTTAACGTTGAAATGGAAAGTGGATGGAAATGGAGACCAAGGAAAGTGGAGAGACTCTTTACCCAGTATTTTTGCGATGAATTAAAGATTCCTTTACTTTAACTACCAGTGATATCAGATTAATTTGGTATTTTATGGTTTAGTAGATGAACTAACATGAAATTGATGAGCTGGACAAATGGACTACGTTTTGACTATTTTTATATTCAAATTTGTCCTAGGGGCGTCGATGTAATTAGCTAGGTTATGTGTGTGTGTTTGTATTTTGAAAGGTGGAAACTGAGCATGTAAACTGTGGGTGCTTTATGTCAAATGATACTTACTGTGGCATTTCTATGGTCAATAACACTAGATTGACTTTTGCGATGAAGGCACATATGAATTTGATGCCAGAGTTATCAGCAAAGTTGCGTGATCTTCCTGTTAGGCCAAGTTTTGCTGTAACGCTGGCATTTGCAGAGCCTCTAACCTCAGTTATAGTAGCTATACACCTTTGAGGTTGTCATTTATAGTGAATGTAATCTGTATGGCTTGTTTGATTTCGTTATTCACTGCATGATTGGTTTTGGCTTGGCCATTTTCTATTTCCTTTTGTATCCGTGGCTTGCTATCAAAACTGAAAGTTGAACTTGGTAGAGAAGACAAGAGGTGGTTGTCTAATTATTATAGTTGATCATGATAAAATAAAATAACAGCTTGACTTAGTCTTTTGAATGTATACTTAAAGATAATCTTTTGCAAAATAAATTCAATCCGTGGTTCAAATTTTTCAGATACCATTCAAAGGCTTCTTCATTAAAAATTCTAGCATTTTATGGTGGGCGCATTGCGAGAGCAGCAAGTCAGGCCGTTCTACTCATAGGTATTTGTTTAATCTTCTATCATTTTCCATTAATCTATAACTTATTGATTGCCAGTGGCATGTTTACTTTACAGTGAAAGGTGGGTTCTTCATTCAACAGAAGAATGTGCAGAGAACATAGTTGCTCAAATTGGACCCAAGAAGCCATCAGACGCAACACTGAAAAAAGTGGCTAATGAGCTTTTCCAAGAATTTCAAAGCACTGGACTCGACATATCTCAACGCCCTTTTTAAGAAAGCTCACAGATGGTTGACATGTAAATAGGAGGCCCTAAGTGTACTACTAATTCTTACAACTTGGACATATACATCGCATGTCCAATCTTTGGTAGGCTTGGACTAGAGTGTCTTGATAAAAGAATCGTGAAAGGGGCGTGTTTGGATTGAGGAGAATGGGAGAGAAAATTTGATTTAAATATTTTCCCAACTTCAAATGTAACTTGAATCTTTCTTTCTTCTTCGTTCTTCTTGACTCAAGCATACCATTAAGTCGATATTTGTACAAGATCAAATCAACATAACATTTTTCTTACAAAATCCAGATCTGAAGCATATCCCTGTGGGAATTTGTGCAATTCTTGAGTATATGTGTTGGAAAAATAGAGGATGGTAATAATTTATTTTTGAAGACCATGGATTGGAGGCATGCAAAATGTGAGAAATTTTGATAACTTAAAGTTCACTTATTAGTTATAAAAACATTATATAAAGAATTCATGGAATGAACTTACTGCATTTTAAATTCCTTGCATTGTGAAATCCCGATGAAAAAGTCCTGAGAGTATTATGTAAACAGAGACTGATTCGCTTTTCTCTTTGACAGGCACTTAATATCGTGTCCACTAAACGAGAGACTTTTCTCCTTATATTGTCTAATTGCTAAGGAAGGCCACCAGTTTTTCCCTTTTATTCTTAACGTCAGGAGCAAGATAGCACATCCAACTGCTCAATATTCATTCATAAGTACAACTCCCATGAAATTGATTCCCAAGAAGGTGGTGTGCTTTCAGTGCTACTCAAAACCTATCTTCTTCACATTCTGAGATTCTGTTAATCTTTTAAAAGTTGAGTTTTTCATTAGATATTGTAAGACAATAACTTCCCTTCTTTCTTGAGTAAAATTCTAGCTGTTTGGGATTGCGCTAGGATGCAATGGCATCGCTGCTATAGATAGTTTACTAGTGTCATGGTTATAGATTGTAAAAACTTGATTCCCTTCTTTATTAAACTGTGGTTACTTACCATGGATAGAGATTCTCTTGTTTTATACTTGAGAAATGAATATAAGACTTTGAAATTTGTGTCCAAATTTTTACATGGTGAGTGATTTTCTTACCTCATTAAGCACTTTTTGTAACATCTCATATAATTATATCCATATATGCGATATACTTTATTTAAAAATCCATACATATGTCTAGCATTTAAAACAGGTTATAATTTCAAAACATTTTCCTGATGTAACTTAACAACATAAACTATTGAAGTCTTTTAGTCATGACAAATAAAAATATAATATAGCATAGGCTTAAGGAGTACAGAAGCCTTCACACTTACTTCATCAGTGCCTTCCCTTGATTCCTACTAAATTCTTCACATGAAAGTGTTAATATAAGGAATGAGATCTCACTACCAAAAAAACATGTATTTTGTAGAGGTTAAAATATGACTTTTCTAGCGGTTATAACCGCTACAAATGCTACAAATAATATTTGTAGCGATTAGACAAACCGTTAGAAAATCAAGTGCTAGAAAGGGATTTCTAGTGGTTAAGGGAACCGCTACATAGTATGGTCAAAACGCTAGAAAATTTCTAACGGTTAAAATAACCGCTAGAAAAAACAAGTAGCGGAATGGGAATGATACGAAATTTCTAGCGGTTTATAACCGCTAGAAATCTCTGATAAATTTCTAGTAGTTAATTAACCATTAGAAAATTCTGAGCGAAATTTCATTTTGACGGGAAACAAAAATTTTCATTTTGGTGTCAAAAATTTCTAGCAGTTAATAACCGCTAGAAAGTCCAGAGGAAATCAAATTTTTCCTAGAATCGAAATTTTGGAATTGGTGCCAAAAAATTTCTAACGGTTATGAACCGCTAAAAATGTGGGGGGATATTTAAATTTTATGAAATTTATCCCTCTTTTTTTTATTATTTCTAGTAGTTTGGGAACTGCTAGAAAGTTTATTCCATGCCAAAAAAATAAATTGAGATGTTTGATTATTAAAAAATATAATATTATAGATTTAAAAACCATTAAGTAGATTATATAAGAGAATTTTTGTTAATATGTATAATTACTAATGTATTACATGTTATAAATTTGAATTTTGTAATAAATAATAAGTAATCAAGTTATGATTGTGTCAAATGAAGTGAATTAAATTTAATAAGATGGTTGAATTAAAGATAAGATTGTTTGTAATATTGAACCTAAACTGTTATGTTGAGAAGTGCTTGAATCAGTTGAGGAAGGTATGACAAATGTAAAGAAGAAAAATATAAAAGAAAAAGAGAAATTAATATGTTAGTAAATTATAAATAAAAACAAATAAAAGATATTAATATTTATAAAATAAAAATCACCTTACCATATAATAAAGAGAAAAAAACCACCATATGAGAGAGTAAGTAAAAAAAGAGTGGATTATAAAAAAGAATGGGGTGAGGAAGAAAAAGAGATGGGGTAAATGAATAAAGAGGTGATATGGTATTTATAGAGATCAGCGAGACATTTGTAGCAGTTTTTTTGCAGCTTTTGATTCATTTTGTAGCGCCCTTGTATTTTCTAGCGTATAATAAAATCGCTAGTATTTATAGCGGTTTCACAATTTGTAGCCGTTATGTAACCGCTACAAATTGTAATTTTTTACTTTTTAAAAAACTGGGCTAATTTTAATTTATATATATTTATTTATGAAAGGCAAATTTTTTGAATGATAAAAATTTTTGAAACTGCCATTCTTGATCATCATCCTGCTTGAAAAGAGATATTAAAAAAAATTATGTTAGAATTATAATATATTTAGAAAAAAATTAGTAATTAGTAGGTAATTATTTAAATAATTTAAGAAAAGACATATACCTGATAATTGTCAAATTATCGTCTCCTTAAGGAAAGAAGTTTTCAAAATTCGGGGGTTGGAAGGGTTCGCTGTCGTAAACAATGTCACTATCACCCATATCATAAAGATCCCGTGGCTTGAGGTGAACAACGATATTCTAGTCTTTATGATTCTTGTCCTCAACATAGTAAACCTGGTGTGCCTCCGAAGCAAGAATATATGGTTCATCATCTTTAGATTCCTTTGTATGAATAAGTCTTGAGAAATTAACAGAGGTGATGCCCAAGTGGTCAGTAGCGAGTCCCCGTGAAGTTGTCGTATTTGCCCAAGAGCACTTGAATAGAGTTACGGTAAAAAGCTGGTAACTCAACTCAATGATGTCAATTAGCTTTCCATAATAAGTGACGCCTCCAAAGCGCATATCGCCATCACTGCTGCTAGCATAACATCTCATCTTGAATGTCCCGCAAACTCCAGAGTTTTGTATGAGCAATCCCTGATCACGTCCAACCGTACAGAACTTGAAGCCGTTAACATTATACGCGGTAAACCTTCGTGCATGGTCTAACAAACCGAGAGAAAGAGCTTTGAATTCATCTATGTATGGGCTGTTGTCATTACGTATTCAACGTGTAAACCAACCAGGAAACTCTTTGTGGACTCTTTTATCAATGTCAGCAGAACGCGCACGCCCTTGTAGCTACCGCCTGAGGTAACTTCTAAACTCACTACAGTGAAGTGTAATTTGTTAGAAGAGTCAGTGAGAAACAAATATAAAGTGTAAAAGTTAGTGACCTTATATAATACTTACTGTATGAAGGGTTCAACTTGGTTGCAATTTATCAAAACATGTCTCTGTGCTTGGAGTTTCTTTATGGGAGTGAGTCTGAAGAATTCATATCCTCCAACTAGTTTCCTGATAAAACCCAATTTTTATGAATTTTATCCCACATTAATTTAGGATTTAAATGATAGTTTTGAGCTTAATTGGATTTTTATGCATTATTGAATTAATTGGTTGATTTTTGGATTTTGCATAAAAATTGAGATTTTGGATTAAAAATATAGATATTTTGTGATTTCCTATTTTTGACTTGGAATTAATTTTTCTATTTCTTTGAAAACAAGTCTCATATTTTTAGAAAGATTTGCAATTTCTTGCCTAATTTTTGTGCACATCTGATATTTAATTTTTGATTATATTTGGATATAATTTACATTAATAAATGCACTTAAATTCTTGTAGGCCAAGAAAAAGCATATAGGAAATCCAATGATATAAGATTGTTTCTTGGAATTTAAGCACAACCTAATAACTAATATCAAGTGGGTCAATTAATTACTAATGAGCTTGAGCTTTGGGTCCAAAGAAAATTTCCTTTTCTCCCATTAAAATATGCCCCTCATTCAATAGTCGAAAAAAGACGCTCACTCTCTCGCCATAGGCACAATCAAGAAAAGCTCTCTCTCAACGGTCTTCATCTTCAACGCCTACTCCATCGCCCACTCATCAAATATCCATTATTCTCATCCCTCCAATCACGCCAATTGTTCTTAATCATCCACCCA